AGCAGCGGCCGTGGCCGAGGGGGAACTGATCCTAGTAGAGCCCAGGCGGGAGGGGAAAAAGGAATCAAAGAATTTTAGGGAATGAACCTTATCAATTCTGCAGTTAGCTTTTGGAATAGTTTGGATTGGAAGGGAACTTTAAAGATCGTCTTGTGCCAACCCTCTGCCATGGGCAGGGACACCTTCCACCGGACCAGGTTGCTCAAAGCTTCATCCAACCTGGCTTTGAACACTGCCAGGGCTGGAGCAGCCACCACGTCCCTGGGCAACCTGTGCCAGTGCCTCACCACCCTCACAGGAAAAATCTTCCTCCTAATATCTAGCCTACATTTCTCCCTCTTTCAATTTGAATGCGTTACCCCTTGTAACTGCACTGCAGTTCCTAACAAGGAGTCCCTTTCCAGTTCTGCTGTGTTGTGGGAGTATAGTAAAAAATTATATTGGAGAGGAGTTAACACGAGTTAGTGGAAAGAGGGTAAATTCAGGTTAGATATGCAGAAGTGATTCTTTGCTGTGGGGGTGGTGAGGTACTGGGACAGGTTGCCCAGAGAAGCTGTGGATGCCTCATCCCTGGGACTGTTTAAGGCCACACTGGATGAGGCCTTGAGCAACCTGGTCTAGTGGAAGGTGTCCCTGCCCATTGGAACTAGGTGATCTGTAAGGTCCCTTCCAACCCAAACCATCACAAGGTAGGCCAGCAATCACGAACTGGGGTGCGATGGCCAGGAAGGCAGGGCAAGAGCAGGAGAGTTTGAGCCAATTTGTGAAAAGGTAGCCTTTTCTGAAACACAGTGTTTCTTCTCTTGCCAATGTGGTTTTGCATGTGTTTCCTTCTAAGGAAGGTTTTACAGACTGCCTTAAGAAATTAGCCCATTGTTACTGTAGCATAGCACATGTAAACTTGCTGGGTATTTTTGATGACAAAAGAAATGTAAGTTTAAGCTGTTTGTGCAGTTCTGCTGCTACCTACATGTAGCACAAATGTTTGGATGGTGCCACCCTGATCTCTATGCAGCTGAAAACTAGCCTTGCAAAAAACCCTTCTACCCACCCGTGGCCCATTGTTATGGCTTGATTTGAATTGTACTTGTGTAATTGTACACTGTGGATACACAAGGTACTTGTGAAAATATCTTTTTTTTTTGCAAACAGTCTATATATTGATTTTCACCACTTGCTCCATTCACCTGTATTGCCTTTTGCAATTCAATCCTAAGTGTATTGTGGATCTTAAGCTGGAGAGACCATTATCACCAGATAATTTTTCTCCAGACTGGTCAGGAAATTACTCGTCACAAGGATTTCTTAAGTTTTTTGACAAGCTGGAATTTAAGACGAAAGTATGCCTTTAGTAAATTTAGTGCAAACCATTTTACTTCCCAAGGATGTTATGTCTATCTCTTGGTAAATTCAGTAGATGACAGTAATGCTATCTATACTCTTCCTTACAAGAAGAAGTTTTCAGTTCCTCTAATATTGCCAAACTTTAGGTTGCTGCAGTGAGGTTTCCGTGCTAGAAAGTTTAGTTTTATAAAATTTTATCCCAAAATTCTGTCTTAGAGGATGAGTTTGAGAGAGTAGAAACAGGAGCATGATCTTCCTTGTGTCAGCTGTCAGGGATTAGTTTAGGGAGCTTTAATAACAGAGCCACCATGGACTCGCATTTCTCTTTGCATTGTTTTGGGTACCACACAGAAGAGTCAAATTCAGACCCATGCATTGAGATTTTCTTAGTGCTGCATGGCAGACAGTGCTTGTCCAGTGAAGATATGAACAAAAGGAATTGATTTCTTACCTTCCAAGTGCCTGCTCTTTTGGTCTCTAATTGAAGGAGCCCATGGTCCCATGCTGGGTTTTTTTCAGTGGGACACTGTCTCAGTGATAGAACTGGAGTGCCATGTGGACAACATATGTTGGGAGGGCTTAGCACTGACAGCTGAGTCAAGTCTCCTCGCTAGCCTTTCTGCAAAAGTGAAACTAAAGGGAAGTAGCCCACCCTTAGCAGTTGTGATTTGGAGTGATAATCAGAATTGCTTTTATCTCTCTCTTGTCTAGAGAGAGCAGCTTCCCGCTGCAGATGATGACAGTGACAATGGCAGTGACAAGGAAGATGAGCAGCCTCAAGTGGTAACACTGAAAAAAGGGGACCTGACTGCCGAAGAAGCAATGAAAATTAAACAGCAGATCAAAGAGGCCTTAAAGTCAAATGAATCAGGTGAATTTCAAACTACTAATTTCTTGCTTTATGGAGTCAAAGAGACATAACCCTTAAAAGGGAGCATGATATTTGCTCAGTTTTCTACTGTTTAATGTTACCTCTGATTAGTTGTTCTGAATTTTTCAACTAAATAATTTGTACTTGTGGTTCCTAATCTCAAGTCATCGAGTACATATTCAAGCTGTCTGGCCTTTTATAATGTTTCAAATCTGCGCTGCTTCATTGTGCATCATCCTACCTCCAAATACCACCTTAAATTAATTTTTTTGTTGTTGGGGCATGGCGCTCTCCTGGTACACAGTCCTTTGACGTCTCCTGTGGTAATTTTTAAACTTATTAGTTACTTTAGCCAAATTTGACAGTGGAGTGGATGTCTTAAAGGTAATTGTATGAGATGATGAAAGACAGTGCTGGGCAAGAGGAAGTGCATCATCCTACCTCCAAATACCACCTTAAATTAATTTTTTTGTTGTTGGGGCATGGCGCTCTCCTGGTACACAGTCCTTTGACGTCTCCTGTGGTAATTTTTAAACTTATTAGTTACTTTAGCCAAATTTGACAGTGGAGTGGATGTCTTAAAGGTAATTGTATGAGATGATGAAAGACAGTGCTGGGCAAGAGGAAGGTAAGTGCTTTTTTAAAGAGTGGCAGATGTGTATGCTCAGTAACATGTTCACTTAGCTGACTGACCCATGTTACTACTTGCTTAAAATCAACCCCAGTATGTGTTGTGACTTGCAAATATATTAAGCAACGCTCAACAGATGATACAATAGTGCCAACAAACAGCAAGGTATAGAAAAAAATGTTTCTTTGCTACAAAGAATTAGACAGAATGGAAAGATGGAAGTGGTGTGGGAGGGGTTGCTGCAGTGAGACAATAAAGATGTGAAACTACAGCTGATGCATACAGTTATGTTAAGAATTTACGTCAGTGTTCATCATTCAGATATGGTTGACATAAGTGCTTTGAGAGTCCAGAAACTTCAGTCATCACACAGGGTGTGATGAAATGCAGCTTTATGTTTTTTGCTGACAGAAGACTTGACAGACTGAAGGTAGCTATTACTGTCTCTGGTGGAAATGCCTTGACAATTAAGAATATAGGACTGGAACCTCGAAAGTATAGAATAGAAAGGTGATTCATAGAAACTGTGGACCTCTTCCTTGGTTAGCCATTGTGGCTATTTACAAAAGCTGTAAATTGAATTTAGATCACACTGGGAGGCCTAGCACATGGCCATCAATATGACATGCTTAGCTTCTCTTTTTCTGCCTTTTGGATTTGAAAATTTGTGGGAAATCGATGGGAGAAATGCGCACCCGATGGTGTCCAGCAAGACTCGTTTATTGAAAGCCATCGTCCATCTTTTATACAGTGCATGAACAACTGTGCTTATTATTCTCTTTACCATTACCTAAACCCTAAAAGTTACATTTGTATACTTTCTTAGCTTGCAGGATAACTATACCTATTATTCATTTTAGCATTACCTAAGCTCTACAGGTTACATTTATTTACTATGTCTGCTTGCAGCTGCAGCCGTGAAGAAGTCTGTTTTCTGGAGAATCCTTCTTTGTTTTCCCGGAATAGTTCATCCTTGGGTTTGCAACATTGCTGAGCTTTCCCAGATTGCTTGTCCTTTGGCTGCAACATTATGCTGCAAAAATAACTTCTAATGCTGAGAAGCTAAACTCCTGAGGCCTACTTCTTAGTTATATGCTCAAAGCTCCCATAAGCCTTTGCTTGACTGTTGCTCACACAGTGCTCTCTGGGAGCTGTGCCCCTGTTCCCTTAGCCATTCTTCAACAAAAATTCAGATTTGTGCTGTCACTATGTAGAGGTGTGTATTAAAATTTAAATGGCATAAATGGAAATCAGTAAAAGTCAAACAGGAGTTGTAGGAGAAAATACATAGAAAATCTTACATTTTTGAAAAGCAGATTGATGAAAAATCTTCATTTTTATAATGTAGGTTAGCTTGAGGCAAAGTGAAACTATGTCTGATTTGTTTCTGCAGTTAGATGTATGTATGTTAGATCTAACCAGGTAGTGAACCAAGGGTTGTGTTTATGTAATTTCAGCTCCTTTGAGAATGTATGTTTGGCTCTGGGCTTACTTCCTGGTCTCCTGTTACTGAAGTGTATTGCCTATAGATGCTTGGTGTTGCAGTTTGTAAAGGCATCACATGATTTCTTTTCAAGGGTGGGATCAGCCTTCTAGTATTGGGACAAATTTCAGCCTATTGGAAAGAAATGCCATGATTCTTTCTGAGTGTTGGTTTCCTTTTCATATAAGCAACCTGAGCTTTGAATGATCACAGTAGGAGGAAAAATGATTTTGTAAAGCTGGGCAAAAAGAAGTAGTTGTCCTTGAGAATCTATTGAGATAGAGTCCATGCTGTGAAAAAAGTCCAAAACAGCTACCAAACTGAATACACAGTATGAAATGGAAGCGTATTTGAACAGAGTGACTGAACTTTCGTGGTAGAAGACATTCCCAAGACATAATTGTATGTAGTAAGAATGGTAGTAAAGAGTCCCTTTAGGACTTTGGCACCTCTGCTTATTACCCCTTCAGTAATAAGTTGCATTTGGAGGAAAAAATCCACAGTAGTAGGTAGCAGGAGTGTTGGGGACTGCTGCCCTCTGTTCTGCATTATTCTGTTGCTATTCATTCATCTGTCTTTGTTGTTAATAAGAGGTCTTGACCTCCTTTTCCCTTTTATGGCTTAAGGGAATAAACAGGGTAAGTACTACTATGTTCCTCTGCTATAGAGAGGATCTGGTGTGAATTTTTCAATGAAAGAAGATGTGGGTGACTGTGCTACAGCTTGTTGAAGGCACTTTTGAATATTTGTTCATTTTTACACTGTCAGAATGACCTCTAGATTTAAATTCTGGTTTCTAGTTGGAGGAAAGTATTTAGACAGCTGGTTACTTCCAGCTTAATAAGGAGAGTTTTGTGTAATGTGTGAATTTATTTTTTTTTTGGCTAATTATCAGTGGGAAGTATAAAGAAAATTTGGTGCTGCATGATTTGGTTGCATTCCATGTTGCTTTGATTTTTATCCCAGAGTTGAAAGTGAAATTAATTTAATGGCTACTAGACCGTAATATATAACCCCAATTCAGATCATTGGTGAAATTATGTGGAGCTTTAAAAGGTAATGGGGAAGTAATGTCCTAGCTGATAATCTTCTTTTCCAGCATGCAGCAATGCTGTGGCACTTTGATAGATCCTAAGGAATGTGCTATTAACTATCTGTTGTGAGTGGAAACTGTTAGTTTGTCAAAACACGAGAAGTATTCAGTCTTGAGGTTCTGCCCTCTCCTTTTTTTATATCTGTAGTGATGGCCTTCATTGGAAGGGCCTTGGCTTCAGGCTTTGGTTTGGGATATTATTCTAGAATTTTCTGTTTCTCATTTACATACTTTCTCCTTCATTTTCTTCTCTAACCATTTTGTTGTGGCTGTCCTTTTTTTATTTCAGAACCAGCTGTTCCTGTGACTTGCATTTTCTTTTACAGATGAATAACACTTTTGCATTCATTTGATAAAACCAGTTGATTAATGTCCTGGCTGCACTTCTGCCTCCTAAGGCAGAACAAAGTTTAGTGAAGCTTTTCCATTGGCTATTGCGAGTATAGTCAAAGGGAATTTTTTGATTGAGGACTGGACCTTTCCTATAGGAGAAAATGCCCTTCTATATTGAAATATTTTTCTCTGTGGAGGACAGACTTAGAGGCATTTAAAAAGTCATTTGTTTATCAGCAGTCACTTTGCTTAGTATCTTCATGCAGCATTTTATAAATTGGTACTATTGGTTCAGAGACAAGAAAAAATGGTCTTATGAGAAATTAAATTTGCACAAAAGAAAATATGTCAATTACTGCAAGATAGTTTATCCCAGCATTCATCCTAGTCTATGAAATTGATTTTTTTTTCCTGACATTTCTCTAGCTCATCTGAGCTCTGGGACACTCACATACATGCAGATGACCAAATTTGGGAAAAGGTGTCCTTACTCCTTCCAAGACTTTTAGCATTATTCTTGTTTCATTCTATATCTGGGGTTGGGGGCGGACAAGAGAGAGGAGAGGCAAGGAGAATGCAGCCCATGCTGTCTTGGGTATCAAAGCTTTTCTGATTAAGCACAAGCTGTTCTGATTAAGCAGCTGTTCTGTCAGATACATAACACAGACTTCATGCTGCTCTTCATCACGTGAAAGAGCAGGAACCTAAATGAAAGCTAATTTTGCAGTGTTTAAGTAAGAAAAACTTTCCCAAGTGTTCTCATAAACGATTGGACTGACTACACTACCTGAGCAAGACTGGCCTTTTTGTCTTCATACCACCAGTGTGCCCAATTCCTGCAGTAAATGCTTCCAAAGGCATGCATAGAGAACAGGTGGCCAGAAAGCACTGTAGAAGCAGCATCTGAAATGGCTGATCTGAACTTCTGACCTTAGAAACCATTAAGAAATTTGCCATGTTATAATTTTTTTTCCAACCTCCTATCTTTGAATAGACACATATGGTTTGCACTGCTCCTCCTGCTGTTCCTGCCAGTTTATTAGCATTTATGTTTCCTGTTGTTATCCCATTGACCCATGTAGACAGAAACTACTAAAGAATAATAGTGCCGCTAACTACACAAATGACAACTGTATAAAAAAATAATGTAAACTGAAGAGCAGTGTTTCTTTTTCAGACCCTCATTTCTGTTTATCTTGTAATTTATAACTGGCAATTAGAAGAAGTGAGTTTTCAGCTCAGCATCTGATTGTGCTCCTCTTGGTCAGCCAGTGTAAAAGCTCATGATCCAGGTAAAAGCAGCAATGACTAATAACAGTCAGAATCTGAACTGCAAGTGTAGTTTTTTGACTTGTTTATCAGATGTGGATTATATATTTTCTCCTGTAATGCTTTTATATTGTTTGTATTTTACTTTGTGTGTTTCTTTGTTTATCAGAAATCCTGCTTTCCATAATTTGTAATACGAAGTCTTTTATCAGGACTCTGTTTTAAATGAACCAACACTGAGATGGTTTCTTCAGGTTTTGTTTTGTTTTTTTTTATTTTTATTTTTCATTGTTTAATACAAGTCGCTGTTTTGGAGGTCATTGATATAAGCAATTTATTTTTCATTGTTTAATACAAGTCGGTGTTTTGGAGGTCATTGATATAATCAGAAAAGATAGCTGACACATAAGAACCTGGCAAAATTAGAAGGGATAAAGTGAAGTTTTTTTACCAGCTGGAAAAGACAATCTTAACAAATCAACACAAATTTCTTGAACTGCTACATCAAATTCTTTGAAAAAGCATATTCTGTTTGTTCTCCTTTCCACATGTTGCTGAGGTAAGGCTAACCCTACTGTGTTTCCTCATCTGCTTCGTTCTTTGTCAAGCACT